CTATCCTATCTATAACCATGGAACCAAAGTAAGACAAAAGCTTAAACACTAAAGATCCCAGGTGACTAGATGTAGGAGATAGGAATCTATTAAACGATAAACAAAGGGTAAGGATGACAATTTTCTCTGATTCCGTGAGAATCTCTACCACGAGAATGGAGTAGGTAGAAATATTCCTCTCCATGAGGTGATGATGGGGGAGTTTTCCCTCATGAATTTATATAGAGAATTTTTTCCGTCTTGTGAGGCTTCATGGGGCCTAACAAGAATCTTTATCCATGTGAAAATTTTTAAAATATATATAAATTAATTTTATTTTAAATTTAATCCAACTTAATATATTAATACATTTCAAACGTAACTCAATTATTCACGTTAAATTGATTTTTATTTATATTTAGACAATATATATTTGATTTTACCACTTGTTTATTAACTTTACTAGTTACAACTAATTGTATTTTTACGGTCTACAAAAGTAGAATTTAAATGTTATTACCGTTGTACAAGCAATAAATCCATTGGTTTAATTATTTATGTTAGATTTATTTTTATTTATATTATTTATATTTGATTTTATGTTTAAAAAACTTTAATTAATTATGTTTGAATTTTTAGAATTTTGTTTATTATAATTAAATGTTGGTTAATTATAAGTGAAAAATTTTATATTTTAATGTAAATTAGTGGGAACAGGGACGAGGAACAAAATCTACCCCCATAAAAAATTCTCACGAAAATCCCTATCCCTACCACTTAAAGGGACGAGGAGGAACTCTTCAATTCCGTAAGACCCCGTTGCCACTCTTATTAAAGGGTTTATCTATTTTATATTTTAGAAGTACATAATAAAGAGTAATAATTAAATAATAATTGTGATATTTTTAAAAAAATATATAAAATTTTGATTTAAAAAATAATTTTTATTTTTAATGTAAAATAAATAAATAAAAAATTAACTTATGATAATTATAATTTAAATAAAAATTAATTTCATTACTTTTAAAATAAAAAAATAATTATTAATTAATAATTATTTTTTATTTTACATC